AAAGCAGATGAAATACGTATCATGTGTGACCTTTGCGATAATTAATAGCATCTATTTTTTATTGCCTCTCAGAAAAATAAGATTTTCTGTGACTATTGTATCTCAATAGCAAATGAGCACAGCTATCACTGTTACAGACTGGGCTTCTCTTTGCTATTGAACAATGGTATCCTTATTAAATCTGAAGAACTATTCATGGGCTCCAAGAAGGCATCTTTTTTTTGGGGGGGGGGATTTTGCTTATCTTCTACTTTAGGGGATCTGGCATCTGATTAGACCACAAATTCTAAAGATAGTCCCCAATATTACCAAAGCAGGATTACTGTATTTCAATACAATATATCTATCAACATAATTCCTGGATTTGAGCTATGGATTTCAAGTGCATAAATGTACGGCAATTGTGTCTTACTAATTTTTATATGTAAGGCAATCTTCCAAATTAACAGATTACCTGTAGGATGTGTTCTGGTGTAGACTTCAGTAAGAAACTTCAAGAAATACCAAGGAAATATACTGTAGCTGTTAAGTAAATACTGTCCTCCAAAAGTCATGATACATTTTTGGGCAATGTCCCTTGATTTCCAAGTACATTTTCTATGCTCAGTTCGATTTGGACTTTGGATAACAGAGGAGTTAAATCATAGATTTTAATCAGATGTTTTTGATGAAGAGAGAAACTTACTCTTTTAGCTCAGGTAAACCAATGTACATATACATATACACAATGATGTGCAATGATTCAACTAAATGTTTTGATTGGAAGGAAATGGAATTGATACTTTGGCAATGAATCTTCAAGTAAATTGAGACATCAAGCTGAAACAATTTCTTTCATATCCCAAGAGATTCAAAAGGACTTGAAGATAAAGTAGCTTTGCAGGGTTTCAAGCATTGCTTGAAAATTTTCCTTCTAAATATGGACAAAGGAGCACAATCAGCTTTCTGATATGGACATGAACGGTGGTGACTTCTGCAAAGCTTGCCTTACTGACCATATGGAGGAGTAAAGCACTCTACTGTTTTGGTCTCAGTGGGGAAGATTGTTTGTAGAGAGAAAGAGATTCATATTTATTGAGGTAGCCTTTTTTTTCCTTGTTGTCTTACTTTGTTTTGAGTGAGTCTTTTTCAGTGTATGAGTAATTCTGAGATAATGTGCTTGCTGATGGACCAATGCTGTATAGTGCAAATTATTTATATCATATTGAATTACAAACAGAGTAGATGACTTCAGAGAGTATTAAAAATTTGTCACAAATATCATGTACTCTGTCATTCTTCCAAAACGGCTAATGTTGCTCATCAGCTTTGTCATCAAGTCTCCCAGCTCAAAAATCCAGTGTCATATGAAGGTTGACATTTTGATTTTTAAAAAAATAAGAGATAACTTTTTAAAAGGTTTTTTAAAGGTGGAATCATATTCTTTCTGTATTAATTCAGCAGAATTTCATAATTGTAGATCCATAGAGACTGGTTGAAATTTTCATCATTTAGGTGAATATTTAATAATTATAACATAACATAACATAACATTATATAATATAATATAATATAACATTATATTATATTACATTACATTAATTATATTATTATATTATATTATATTATATTATATTATATTATATTATTATATTATTATATTATATTATATTATATTATATTATATTATATTATA